TCATGGGGGAGGGAGGGAGGGGAGGGTTGACCTCAAGCACACTCTCCAGGCGGCTGGAAATGAAACAGCCACATCGTTTTGGGCGGTTTGACACACGGGGACGGCCTCCTCTCCCTTCTCTCCCATCAACCCTCAGCCGGACCTTTCCATTGAAGCCATACGGGGGGGTGGCTGCCCCCCAGAGGGGGACACAGGGCGTCCTCTCCCTGCCGAGCCACACGGTTCTCCCGTAACCAGTGCCAGTTTACATCCAACAACACGCCCGGTACGAGTTTAGTGGAGTTCTGCCTGTCCGCAGAGGTGTGTGTGTGTGTGTGTGTGTTTGAAAACCAGCTCTCTGCACCAGGTCAACAGGTCTTTACTGAAAAATATCAATTCAAAACCAACTCCTTTTTCCAGCACACACACACACACACACGTACACACTGAGCCCTTCTGCCTCTGACTTGTGTTGTGACTTGTGCAGAGCAAAGATTTGGGGCCGTCGGTGCTGCCAGTCGAAATGAATGTCGACAAACCATCAGACTTAGTTTTTAATGAAAGCACTAAAAATAACAGGCCGGTGCGTTTGATGTTCCTTTTTTTTCCGGAGGGTAGGGATGGTGGGTTTCTACCCCCCTTTCTTGTTTTAATTTGCACAAAATCCAGATGTACTGTACTTAGCTTGCGGTTTGGTCACATATACGACTGTTAATGGATGTTGTTGACGAGTTTGAGCACAAAGTGAAGAGGCCGGCTCCAGTTTTAGCCCGTACCATGAACTAACCGTTCTGTTTTTTGCAAATGAAGTTGCTTGCGTGTTGTAAAGCTAACATAGGGAGAATGCCAATGTTATGTGATTTAGAAGTGTTCCTGAAAGATATTTGCGTCTACTCACGTTACACGACAGGATTCTGTGTTTTTTTTTTTTCTTTCTGTCTGGGTCACGTTATGTAAACAATATTTCAGCCCCTGCCCGAGGTCCATTTTGTCCGACTCTAATCCTTCCTGTGGTTTTTTTCTTTTTTTTCAGAGAACAGTTTATGTGGGGTTTTAAAATGCAAACAGCAGCTTTCATTCACAGGACAACTAAAGTGAAAAGGTGGCCCCTAAAACTCATAATTGTAATTAACTTCATGTTGCAAAGAGGATCAGGACAGGGATGGCTGTTTTTTTTTGTAAATCATGCCTAGAAACGTGTAACTTTCACACTAAGATCAGCACAAATCGAGGAGATCCAACTCTGCCTCCTCTGCAATCCTTTGTTTTAGTCTTTCTTTTTTTTTTACCTTTTAAAAGATGTCGCAGAAAACCGACTGGATCCAGATGTGTTCCTGGTGACCTGCTGGAACGTCAGTTCTGATGATTCAAATAAAGAAACATCTTTTAGAGCCGCAGCGTTTCTGTGTGTTTGTTTTGCTTTCTCTAATCATCTTCTTTTTTTTTTTTATATTAATGCTCAATTTTCTCAAGGAAATGCTGCAGTGAGTGAGGAGCGGCAGCAGAGAGCGGATCTGTTTTTAGCAGCTGCCACCTCCGCCGTCTCTCTCTGTGACACAGATCCTCGGCGCCTCAGCCAGATCCAACCGGGTTCTTTTGACTGGAGTTATTTTAGTCTCGACAGTGAGGGAAAGGGGGGAGCTTAGAGACTATAAACCCCTTCTAGAAACACTACTCAGGGATAGAAAGCGGTGCAGAGCGGCGGCTTTTCCCTTTGAGGCGTGCACGTCTTAATGAGAGAAGCTGGGGCTGCCACGCTGGGAGGAGGGAGGCCATTCTCAGGGGGCACCAGCAGCCAACTTGTAGCTTTACCGAGTCCTGCTTCCACGCAAATTTGAAATCGGATGCAACACGCATTATCATCGATTTATTTCTGCTTTGCTGAAGGTAGAATTCAGCTCACGCCTGGGATGAGCTGACACTAATGAGGACTGGAGGTCCGCAGACCGGGGAGATGCGATTTTGACCCCGTACGGATCTGAGAAAGGGCATCACACCGGTTCTGCATCATTAAAACTGCCAACCGGTACCAGAACCTCTAAGATGATTTCTTACATCTGGCAGCCCAGAAAATCTGAGGAGTTCAGAATCTGTAGTGAGCCTTTAGGCCCTTGTTGTCACCAAAGACGCTTGTCAAACCTAAAAAATGTCATTCCTGAAGCAGCCCACCTGCTGGAGAGGGGATTAAAAAATAAAATAAAATTAAGCAGTAATCACACGCTTTTACACATTTGTGGCACATTTATCTCCTGAATGATTAAAGACTCATTAAAGTTTGACCACTCTCATAAATATTGTCAATTTTAGGGGAAGGCATCCTCCATCTGAGTTAAAGGTCAGACCGAAGTCATTTTAAGGTGATTGTAGAGTCCATTGATTTTAAAAGATTGAGTTAACTGGTTAAATGATCGGTCTATGCAATCATTTGCCTTTGATCAAAGTTTCTTCAGCATCCTAATCTGGCAACATATGGGTAAAGACTTGCGGTCTGGATGCTTTAGTTACCCCCAGCCCGGTCAAGTCCTTTAATGTCACTCTCCGGCTGATTGGTGAGTCTCAGCGGGGGCTCCGCTGGCCTACATCTCAGCGTTTAATTACCCACATGAAACAGTAGGCAAAATGTCAGCCCGAAATAAGCTGCACGGAGAGCTTTTCCCCACGGGGACGCATGACGTCTTCAAAGAAACTGTTTAAAATAACAGGCAGGATGCTTTTTTTTCTGGGTGGTGGAAGGGGGGGGGTCTGCTGAAATGGAAAAAGCTTGGATCCCTTGGGTACAGTTTGTGAGAATTATCACACTGTCTGGCCAGCAGGGGGCAGTGAAGGCATCAGCAGTTCAGACTGGTGACAAAAAAAAAAAAAAAGGGACTACAGTAAAAACAGGTCTGCCATATTTGTTTAATGCTAAATCACCGAGTAAAAAAAAACAAACAAACGCAATAAGGGAACGACACAATGTCAGCTTTGTCCTGGCTTTAATTAAAAATCTGAATAAAGACATGTCGTTGCACTTTGAAAACATAACCGCGGAGACAAGTCTAGTGCAAAAAGAATCCTCCCCAGGGTAAGAAACTGATTTCAAATAAAAGAACAACAACAAAAAAAAAACACAAAAACAAACCGTAAAGTGCATGTTCTGAGAAAAAGCCCCTCGGGTTGTGGTCGTATAAACTCTGAACAGGCACCGAGGGTCGCACGCTGATGACAGACGCTTCTTTAAAAAGAAAAAAAGGGACAGACATGTAGTGGAGTGCACCACTGGTTCAGTCTTAGTTTGGACATTCATATCACGTCACTGAGACAAACACATCCAGTGGTTTACATGCAAACATCTGCTCACCATTCGCGTCTCCCAACACGCCTGCTACACACTCACACGCCTCTCTCACACGCGTGCACGCCGCCGGTCGGCTTCCTTCCTTCCGGCCGGCCGTTGCACTGAGGTCACATGGTGTTGTAAAGCAGCGCGGCGGCTCGCTGTTTTTTCTCGGCCGAGGCTTTGCGGGAGCGTCTCGACGAGTGTCCTCTGCCCTGCTGCCGGGGAGCGCCGCCCTCCGGCTCGTCCCTCTCGCTACCGTCTTCTTTTGAGTGGCCGTGGGAGGAGGAGGAGGAGGAGGGCGGGGAGGGGGCGCCTTGGCTCGCTGCTCCCGTGTGCTGAGCCAGCACTTTCTGCTTCTTCCAGCTGTCGTCGGGGTGACACTGGGACAAGGAGAAGGAGTTCTGGGAGTGGGAAGACGTCGGCCTCGTGTGGGGCCTCAGGTCCAAGTCGCTCAGGTCGTTGGCCGACAGCTCCAGGCAGTCGAGTTTAGCCAAAGAGGCCGAGCGTTTCATGAGCGACGGGGGCGTGAGGCCGGCCTGGCGGATCCGGGCCTCCAGCTCCATGGCTCTGTGCCACCCCGCCTGCGGCGCCAGGCTCCGCCCCTCCTGCCTCTCTCTGAGCCGCTGCGCCGCCGCTGGGCCCGGGGGGCTCGGCCCTCGGTGGCGGTCCGGCTCGGTGTCCATAGTGTCTCTCGGACTCTGGTCCTGTGCTGGACCGTCGGCGGCCTCCAGGCAGGCGCCGTCGTGGAGGAAGGCCTGCAGCTCTCGCAGCGTCTGCTGGATGCGTTCCAGTTCCTGGCTGCCGCGAGCCAGCCGGAGCTGGGCCTCACAGTCGGGGCTGCAGCGCCCACGCCCGCTCGGGGACCTATCATCTGTGTCCGACTCCCGCACCGTCACCCCGTCCAGGGACAGGTGCGGCGGGGCGGGCTGGCCGGCGGGGCTTTGGCTGAGCAGCGGGCCCGGTCCAGGGGACGGGCCTGAGGTATCAAGAGATGATTCTGCTGGGTGACTGGCTGAGAACAGTGATGAAGTCACAATATGGCTGTCTACAGAGGTGTGCATAGGGACGGGCGCGGCCCCGGACACTTGGCTGATATGTGGGGGCTCTGGGAGCTGGTCCCGTGGAGCCCCTGCGTGCCTCTCTCTGTCTTTGGGTTTCTCTCCCTGAGTGGTGCTTTGCGCTGCCGGGTGCAGAGGCGACCCGGGGGGGGGCTGCTCGGCGCTGGGGGACTGCAGCGGGGAGCGCTGGGTGGGAGCCTCCAGCTCCTGCTTCAGCCTCTCCTCCAGCTGTTTGGTGGCCCGCCGCACGGACCCCACCGGCCAGTCGCAGGGCAGCGAGGACGGAGACGGGGGGTGAGAGGGCGGGGTCACAGAACCGGGCGGGGGCTCCGCCTCCTCCTGATGATCGGCTTGGACAGGCTGAGGGCTGCTAGAGCACGGAGGGGCCGAAGATGAGGACGAAGAGGAGGGGGAGGCAGAATTGCTCGATATGGCTTCGATCTCTGTGACGATGTGGCGGACCGAGACTCCGTTGTCGTGGTGACCGGGGTGGGTCTGGTCCGAGCCGTCCTCAGCCTGCAGAGACAAAAGAGGCAGAATTCATCACACGTGTCCAGACCTGCTGGGACGTCTGATCATCAACCATCAAACTGAAATGAAGCCTTTACCTGACTCCTCCTGGCCTCCTCATCCTCGCAGCCCTCGGCGCCTCCGTCGGCCGGCGCTGGCGCCCGCTGCTGCGACGGCTCCGAAAGCGCCCGTGCCCGCCCGTCCTGGGCCACGCCGTCCTGGGCCAGGCCCAGGAACTTCTCCCGGGCTGAGAAAAAGTCGATGCTGTCGGCGCTGTGGTTGGACGAGCCGTCGGCCTCGCCGCGGGCGTCCCCGGCGCCGCAGGCCGGCAACTCGCTGGGGTTGTTGTTGGCGTCGCTGGGGGCGAGGGCAAGGGTCAGAGGCCGGGGGGTGGGAGATGGGGTGGAGCGCCTGTCGCTCCCTGAATCTGATAAGGACTGGTTCATCGAGTCCGAGTCACATGACCCCAGAGTGAGCGGGGAGCTCTCTCCGGAGCCGCCCCTCTCGGGGAAGCTGAGGGAGCGCTCCGGCTTGCTTTTGGGCACTGAAATGGGCAGGTGTGTGGGAGGAGGGCGGCGGGCCCGCTGGGTCTCAGGGGTGGGGGGTAAAATGTGGAGGGACGGGGGAGGGTGCGGCAGCGCGACGGGCTCGGTGACCGCCACGCTGGCCGAGTTGTCAGGAACCACCGTCGCCGCCCGGGGGCTGGGCAGAGAGAGCAAGATGGCGTCCTCACAGTCCGAGCCCCCTTCTTCCTCTTCAGTGCCGTTTGCAAGCGGGTGCGACTCGGTAGGGATGGCGCCGTTTGCTTTGGTGGCCGGTTCAGATTGGGCACCAAGTGCCTGCAGAACAGCCACGCCCAGGAAGTGATGCAGGGAGGGCGAGGAGGCGTTGTTGTTCTGGGAGTCGGAGCGGCCCAGGGACGGACAGGAGGGCCTGCACAGGGAGTCCGGCCGCTCCGACAGGTCGCTGTCAGAGTGGGAGCGCCAAAGCTTGTTGTGCCGCTGTTTGCTGTGAAGAAGAAGGAAAATGGAAGAAGAAATTAGCCCCAAAGCGCCTTGTGAACAACGTGTACAGGCGGGAAAAGGCTGAGAGAGGGCACACCTGGCCAGCAGGATTCCCTGATACTCCTCCAGCTGTTTCATGAAGGACGGGTTGGGTTTGGTGACGGCGCGCCTCTCTTTCACGTAGTCGAAGGCGGTGCTCAGATCCCAGCCGTACTCCTTCATGGCGTAGGCGATCACCGTGGAGGCCGAGCGGCTCACGCCCATCTTGCAGTGGACCAGACACTTGGCGCCGGCTTTCCTGGAGGAGAGGCGGCTTTACAGCAGCGGCTTGGAAATCGGGGGGGGGGGGCGCCAAAGGGAGTGCGAGTGTGCGGGCGCTTACTTGGCTTTGCTGATAAACTTATAGGTCTCGTTCCAGTACTCCAGCAGGTTGGTGGCCTCCTCATCATAAACCCGGATGTTGTGGTACTCGAACATTCCCGGGAAGAAATTGTCGATCTCTCTGGTCACATTCAGGATGTAGCGCACCCTGGAGTCAGAGACAGCCTTCATTATAAAGATGGAAATACACAGATACTCTGAGATAAACCAGACTGTGGTTTTACCGTCCGTGGCATTAAGGTGGGTCACACTGATTACATTTAATAGTTTTACATTTTTCCAACCAATCAAATTCCACCGGGACACATCGTATAAACCGAGACCGTTATTGTAACTACAGCCGCAGGCAGGTGGAGAGTACGCAGATGGATCTCTTACCCGCTGTTCTGCAGCTCCTCTAAGTTGGAGGCATTCCATTCAGAACCCTAAAGTCGATGCGAGAGAAGAAAAAAAAAAAAAAGCAGGCGTCAGGAAAATGCGTGGCTCCATAACACAGCTGGACAGCATGGCACTGTAGAGTGAAATGGGCTCTACAGCAACTTCTGGCTACAGAATTCTTCACAATTCAGTGACGAGTTTGAAGTGTGGGAAAGAATTTAGAAGGCGCGTCTTCTGTTCTGAATGCCTGACCTGCCCCGGGGGCGGGTTGTGTTCTTGGTGTGAGCGGGATCTGATCCAGGAGTTGCATTAGGAGCTAACCACGGTAAAGGACGCTCACCAGAAAGACGTGGTCGAAAATCTCCGTGGGACTGTCCATCTGGCCCAGGATGACGATCATCTCGTTGTCTATGAACTCTTTGAACTCCCTCAGGTTGCACACCATCTGCATCTCCAGCTCCGTCCGGATCTGAGAGAGGAGGGCACACAGAGAGGGGTCGGTCAGCTCGGCGCCTGACGGCACGGCGTTGTGGCCGGCTCCTGCTGGCACCCACCTCTTTGCAGGTGACGTTCTCCAGGTCTTTCTGCATCATGATTTCCCTGAGGCGCATCTTGATCAGCCTCTCTGTGCGCTCCCTCTCTGTGGGCCTGAGCACATGGACACATGTGTTTAAAAACACCTGTAAAGCATTTTGTCTTCACCTAGAACGGGAAGAAAAAAAGAAAAGAAAAAGGGACACAAAGAGCCAACTTCACGCTCGCAGCTAACGACCCTCGTCTTCTGTTCATTCATTCATTTCTTCACAGGCTCAATGAGATTACTTGTTCCCCTCCAGAGAATCGCCACTTTGTCCGATTCTCAGAAACTGGAGAGGGAACAGAAAATTTGAGCGCGAGCCCGTCGGCGAACAGCAACAAAGTGCTCTTGTAGAAAAGGCCAGTTGTTTTTCTGGCTCTGTTTCTAACCGCTCTGCTGGGGGGGGGGGGTCAACACCTTAAGCCCATTTTTACGTCACACTGATGATACCAACGAGAGGCTTAATTACTTCTCTAGAGAGATGAGCTCCGTTCATCTTAGAGCTTCTCCTTTTGTCTTTGTTTTTTTTAAATAAAAATCATTTGTAATTTTTCGCTTCCTCTGGTTAAAGAAAAGCGCAAAAAGGGGATGTTTGCAGACCTAAGGTATAAACCTTAGACTTAGATCATTTTGATTTGGACTTGTTTATCTCATTGATCTCGAGAGAGAAGGTCTGTGGGGCTGAGTGAAAGAAGAGCTATTCGGTCTTATGATCACCTGCAGGTTTAGTCACCGACACCCGACGGTACTTTACCCCCACAAGCCTCAACTTGCCCCAGAGATGGCCCGAGAGCGTAATGGCTACTCATGGAGACCAAAAAAACAAACAAAGGTTACAGTAAGTGAATGATGAGTGGAAACCTAATGACACTTCCCTGAATTGTAGATAGGGGAAGCAGCTTATGGGAATCTGCAGTAAAGCCCATAAACCAAAAGCCAAAACACGCCTCGTGGTTTTTAGTAGGGAAATAAACTGATATGTCAACAAACACTGGCAGCTCGTGCGGCCTTTGGCAGCAAACCCTGCCAGGACAAACACACGTGCCGACCCAAAGTTTATGGATAATCTCAAAGAGGGTGAGGCATTTCCGCGTCTTGGCACGGGCAGGGGGGGGGGTTAAATGATCTTTCCTTCTGCATCAGCTCTGCTCCATTCTTTCCATTCAGGGTGATCAGGTGCAGCAACCCATCTCCTCCTATCTGCTTGCCACCTGCTTCCGTCTGTCCCCTCGGTCCACCTTCCTGTGCATTCGTCTGGATTTCATCTCTCCAGAAGTAAATCGAGCCAGCTAAAGCCAAGGCTATTTTTGGCACCCATGATCAGTGCTTGTGTGTGTGTGTGTGTGTGTGTGTGTGTGTGTGTGTGTGTGTGTGTGAACGCACTCGAGAGACAATCCACGAATAGGTAACGTGGCATGTGACTCCAGCAGCAGGGAGGGGAATTTCCCTCCCGTTAGTAAAGCCATAAATCCAGGAGGCTCGTGTCGCTCACTTTTTACTTTCAAACACTTCCTTAGAGATCTGTTGACAACTGGGTGTCACTCGTTGCAAAGCTGAGTGGGTGTAAATCTATATATCCATACATTTCTCCGTGCCGTTCTTCGTAGTCGATGGCCCTTGACCTCAGCTTCGTCCCACTGGCCTGAAATACTTGTGCTGCAGAGATCACGACAGCATCCCACGTGAGGACCGGGGACGCTCCGGTTCCCTGGAGCGCCTCCGACTTTCTCTGAATCTCTGGCACAAATTGGAGCAGCGCGTGTCGGCTGACTGTCTGCCTTCCTAAAGACTCTCTTTTTAAGCAGTGAATGTGAAAACTATTCACCCTGCAGGAATTTTACACCTGTGTCGGCGTGGAGACGGCCGCCTGTGTGGAGCTCAGGCCGAATCCATGTGCTGGTGTGTGTGTGTGTGTGTGTGTGGCCTCTCTCCCTTTACTCACAGGTCTGTGAAGAGGATGGGCGAATTGGCACGGTGCGACTCCACATCCTGCATGGCGTTCCATTCGTTGATGCAGAACTGGTTGGAGGAGACCCTGCTCTGGTAGTAGCTGACCCAGGTCAGGAACAGGCTGCCTGGGTAGTAGTTATGGCAGCGGGCCACCTCACAGGCTTTGTGGAGCGACTGCAAGGCTGACCTGATGACCAAAGGGACAAAGCAGTTCTTATAAAGGATGGAAAAGAAGATTTAAACACCAGAAATAGGACGAGAGGCACTGACTTGATTTGTAATTTACAGATGAATAAGAGAATGCTGAAATATGAAAAAGGATTTTAAAAAAATCTTAAATGAGGAGGCAGCACTGGCGTGTGAGAGATTAAAGAGAGGCGATAAGGGAGAGGGAAAGACAGAAAGATAACAAAACCTAACAAACAAGAGGGCAGAAGTCAAAGTCAAACGGGGTAATGTGATAAAAAACATCAACTTTTTAAGCTACCTTCAGGCAGCTCTTCCAACAGACAGAAAGGAGAAGAGAGGCTGCTCACCACATCGCCTGGACAGAAACCGGCTTGAAGACGTGAACCCTGTTTACTGTCGACACGCTGAAGCCGCTGGGGAGCAAGAGAGAGACGCGTCAGAAAAGGGGAAGTCTGGTGAACATTGTGGTTTCGAAACCATGTCTGTGCGTAAAGGGAGGCATCGGTTCCTTACCCATCTCCATCCAAGTGGATCAGAGTGTCACTCCAAAGAGGTAGAACCAGCCCCACCGTGCAGCAGCTGGAAGACACAATCAATAAGCAAACAAACAAATTACAGAAACTTTCACCAGAAAGAAGGAGAAGAAGACGCAAATGTCAATATGGCACCGACCTATCAGAGGAGACAAAGTCCATGCCGAGCACGATGCTTTCCTCCGTGTCCTGCCTGCCGTTGGTGGAGACCACCACCATGTAGCGGGTTACCTGAGCGTAGGCGCTCTCCAGACGCACAGCCTGAGATGCCGGAGAAAAGGGGATTTGAAACCGCTTCCTACATTTCTGTGTCCACTTTTACAGGCAGATCAGATTAACTGGCGTTTTAAAACCAGAGGCAGGTTTCAGTTCTGTGCGCTTTGCTGACAAAGCACTGAAACCGGCCGCCCTGGAGCGCACACCACCCTGACAGCGAGCTTTGGCAGCGCGGTACTGACCAGTCGGATGGTGTCCTCAGGGCGCAGCACAGTGAACATGGTCTGGAGGTGTTTCTGGAGGTCACCTGAACAAAACAGAAATCGGATGTCCACGTTTAGTTTCTTCGCTTAAATCACATCTACTCAGTCCAACTATTCAATTTTAAAATCAGACAGATCCTTATGTGATTCCATAAAAAAATATCGATGGGACAAAAAATGAAAAGAAAGAAGAATCAATGTATTTCAGATCAACCTTTTCTCTTGTTTTTAGTCATTTTAAGAATCTTAAAGCGGTTTTGGGATGAAGCGGGTCAGTGTGCTTTCCACAGGGCTTTGCTAGCTGTGCGTGCCTCTTTACCCGTGTGCTTGTTCCTGCGCTGGCTGATGTGCGGTGCAGAGTTCGGCGTGGGGCTGCTGCCCCTCGGGAGGAAGAGGGCTGCGCCCTTCACAGTGAGGAAGCTCTCGCTGATGCTGGAAAGAAAGAGAAGGGAAAACGAGTCCTGAATGGGGGAGCTGAAACACATAGAGCTTCTGCCAAGTTGTCTTATCGTGTGCGATTTCTGGTGGAATTCGGGTTAAGCACTGAGGGGTCTGCGTTGGCCATCGCTCGTTTGCACATGAGTGGACCCCTAGCAGGGGGGCTTATGGCAGTCACAATGCTCCATTCAGCCTTCCCGAGCTCCCTAAAACCGGAGCTGACAGACCCGTGGGCAAAACAAGGTCCAGGGCCCAATATGAACTCGGAACACAATGTTCTCTGCGCCTCCACACAGCTGGATTACACTCACAGACTTACTCACACCAGCAGCTGCCAGCGGGGAGGGATGAGCGAGGACAGGGAGGAGACCGGGGGTTCAAAAAGGAGGACAGAGCCCGTCCCCTCCTCCACAGGGTTTGAGAAAAGATAAGAAGCCGGCCAGCACACAGCAGGTTATGTTAAGCGGGGCTCTGCTCCTCTCTAAGAGGGAGAATTTTATTAACTGTGACTGAGGTCACTGCATTGAGGAGGACACATAATAGACAGAGGTCAGTGTTCTAACCGGACTCCAAACAGCGTGATATCTATTCAGCACACAGAAAAACTAGAAAACAAGTCGGAAGGCCTCCTTCTGCAGCCACTTACGGCGACCGAGGAACAAACAACTTTACTCTGAATGATGTAATTCAGAGCACAGAGTCATACAGTAAAGAGACAATAAACATTTCTGCAAGGGAAGTAAAATGAAACCTGAAAACTTCACTTGAGTTGGTAACCGAGTAGAATTCCTGGTAAAGCAAAAAAACATCCTGGTTTTACTAGCTCTGTGATTTATGCCAAACTGATGGAACCCATTTGTGATAATTATTCAAATGTGGGTCTTAAAAGTTTAACAGTTTTCTACAGAAGTCCCCCCTTTTTAAACTCACTTTAAAACCATTCCTGCTGGATTGTTAAACCTGGTGGATTCTTGGATAAAATGACACGAGTGTTTGGAAGAGGTGAAAACCTCCCGGTTAAACCTCGATGCAGTTTGTCCGCAGCGATACAGAACAAACACAGCTCCTGTTACCAGAGGAAACACTGATTGAGGGAGGAGAAAAACCTGTTTTGCTAAAAATAAGCTTGGTTTCGTAGCCTCTGGGGCCAGAAGCTAAGACCAGGAACTGCCTAAACACACAGGAAAAAAAAAAAGCACTAGGATTAACAAATGGGAGTTGATGACATCAAAGCCGCTGACTGCTTTTGAAGTTATGCGAATGTGCAGCGGCGCGGCCACTTTTTCTGTGTCGGGTAATCTATGCGGCTTTAAGAAGCCAGAGTGGAAAAGAAAAAAAACAACAGTTTGTGAGATTGGACGGGAGGCCGGTGCCGTCTGTCACTCCGCTTCCTGTTGGCTCGGGCTTCTGTCTGAAACTTCATCTCTGTGCCGCTGCTTTGACCTTCCTGAGTTCTGCTGAGGCCATGGATGCAGAGGATCCGAAGGGGAAAGGGGGGGGGGCATAGAAACATGGGAGCGTAAACAAAACCGCAGCTTTGTGCAGAGCTCATTTCCCATAGCCCACCCACCCCATATCCAGCTGTTTCCTCTCACTCTGCCCTCCCCATCTGCAACTTCTTGTCAAACCAATTCACCCCGCTTCTCATTTCCGTCATTCTTCCACATTCCTGCTGCATCATAGCCCCTTAACCACCACTCGCAGTTTAATGTGTCACTTGAAACGCAACCCTGAGAATCTCACATGGGGGGACGTGCACTTGCAAACATGCAAGTTAATGCAGGTGACAGGGAGAGAGAAATGGTGGAGAGGAGGGGTGGTTGGGGTCTGGCATTAACGACTTAAATACAGTTGCTAAAAATACAGTAGTCCTTTAAAAGTCTCTGCTATTGATAGACTATATTAACATGAGCACAGTTGGTTTACTGTACAGAGTAACACCCCCCTGTTACAGAACAGTGAAGCGCAGTAGAGGTACAGCAGCACCAGTGTGGCTGATTTCACCCACTGGGAGAGAGGGACATTTATGTGTGACATGGTGGACAGCGGACTACATCAACCCATGGGCACAACACAAACATCTGGCTTTCTTCGTCTCGTATACATCAAACAAAATGGCGTGGCATCTCGGACGGCTTAAGCGACAATTTTTGTTAAAAATGTCCCAATCAAGACGACCAGCCGATGATTTCAGCCTTCTGTAACACGGCAGCCCGTAGGCCTGAACACCTTTAAAGTAGCAACACACCAACAGACTGATAAGGCAATCGCCCTGATGTACTCTATCATATGTGGCATTAGCAAAGGTCATCTTTCAACAAGCAAGATTTCAAAATAAGAAAAATAACTTTTAGAGCAATCAAAACGCACGGTACACAAATCAAGCATGCTGGGAGACAGAAGGGAGAAATTTAGTTGAATTCTTATGCAGATTCTAGTTGTGCGAGTCCTGAGTCAGACTCCGTGGCAGAGCGGGGCTGGTCATCTTTGGCTTTGGACCAGCTCCGACTTTGGACTGAAGGGGAGCTGTAGATACTTGTTCGGGCAACGGTTACAGACACAATCATCTCTATGTAAGGACCACTCCACATAGTGGGCAGATAACTGGGTGACCCCCTCCTCTAGCCCGTGGCCATATTAGTCACTCTGGGGAGGAGCCTTGGATAAATATAGGGCCTTGCTCTGGAGGCCATGCTGAGGCCTTATGAGTTTGCACCCGGGTAAGATACACCCATGAGAACGACAGGGAGTAAGCTATGTATGTGCATGTGTTAGGTTGTGCAAACTAAGCCCTCCTAACTAAAATGTGCCAGACAGAAACAGAAGGATTAAGCATGCAAAGCATGCAAACAAATCAAGCTACTCACATCTGCCTCTTTATTCATTCTCTACTTTATAGCAGTTGAACAGCGACCTCCAAAACTGTCACAAGTCTTAAAGCACATGTTGAAGGTGTACAAAAGAAGCAGGTGAGGGCGGCTGGAACATAGGAGGTCAGGATTGATAAAGTCAGAGGGGATAAAGTGGGTCAAACTAAACATAGACTTCCATTATCGCTCGCTGTTGCCTGTTAGCCCGAAGCCCAGACCCCACCGTCCTCCTCATGAGTGTGTGAGCGATTATGAAAACAACCGTTACAGATCGGGTATCTCCACAGCAGGCTGGGTTAACGCCGATTTACTGTAACCTATTCGGAAAAGATCTAAACAGAGTAATGGGACACATCACGCGCAAAGCATGGGAAGAAGCAACAGGGAATGACCCAGATCCAGCAGCGCGCGTCCTCCTTCACCTCTCTGTCCGTCACCACAAACACAAGGATTGGGCGGAAGCAGGGTTTACCAGCACTTAAGATGACAATGGCGCCCCAGATGCCTGAAGCCGCAGGTAACACTTAGCTCCAGCCACAGCCACAAGGCTTGTAATTACTCTTGGATGGGCTGGTTAAACATTAACCCGTTCTGGTATACAGAGGTGTGAAAGACAAAATAAGGTTTAGGTGCAGAATCTTTCAAAACACCAGACACTGGGCAATACGAATGAAAAGGAGAAGTGTTACAGGTCTTTGCAGTGCTCTAAGGGTAAAATCGTCTGTTATTTGTTGACAAAACATGACTGCTAGCAGACGATGGGTTGAGCCTCACTTCTTCCCATCAACTGTTCTTGCGTAAAACCACATCTACCAAAAACCATTCCTCTCAAATCTACAGCCACAACTTTAATAAAGCCTCCACATGCAGCTTACTCTGTAACTCCACCACAGTGTCATGTGGGAATCAGCTGGAAAACAGAGCGAGGGAGATTCTCTCCACTCACCTGGAGGCCACAACAGAGTCATTCTCTCTGCAGAGCACAGAAAGTATGAATAAACTGAGTTTTGTATAAAAACAATGGTTCACAATCTCATCAGTCTTTAACCTTTGTAACTTTCTTGTTTTGTTTCCTTCTCCAGCTTTACAGACCTTATCTGAGGCAGCTCCACAGTGCTTGGAAAAGCAGGAACAGGCTAGCCTTTGATCTGTCCTGAGGGGCAGACCACATGTACAAATCAACTAAACCCTTTAACATCACCCAAACAGAGCACTCTGCCCCAAAACTTCAAGACATAAAGGCAGGAGAAGATGAAAGCCGGCAGCAATGCGACCCCCCCCCCCATTAGCTTTAATCAATAAATACCTGTCCACAACTCTCAGAATCATACAGAATTCTAACAAAAAACTATCGACGTAGCCTCACTTCCTGTTATATCAACTTCTTCAGAAGCCAAATATGGGTCAGATCTTCACAGGTGTCACATATTACCTTGAGTTTGAATAACCTCCAACTTAACAACCAGTCATTCAACCAAACACCATCCCACCCCTGGACAAACAAAAAAAAGAAGGAGAAAAAAAGCAGAACAATGATCCCCCTTGTAACCTTTATGGCAGGCAGGAGATGTATTTCTATCCAAGTACAGTCCAAGTCCATGAGGACTCCCTTTCTGAGCTGCCAGCGTGTGAACCCGTGCAACAGGTAGGATGAGTCACTGGAACTGTGTGGCTTTATGTCTTAGTTAGGTCAAAAGGAAGCACCAAAGATGAGTAAAGCCCTGCTACATCACCAGGAAATACGACCAGCGCTCATGTCGCAAAGCTGCTGCAAGTCTGAGAGCTTACTCATCCTCACAGAGTTACACAAAATCTTAAAAGTCGGTCAGAAATTACAACAAGCAAATAAAGTCAGAGGGGGATAAAAAATACAAAGTTTTTAAAAGTTTTTTAGGGAGTAGTCACACACTCCCACTTTAAAAACTGAGGTGTGATTATGTGTGGTCAGGATCTGAGACGCTGTTACACAATGGGGACTCTGCTGCCTTCCTGTGACGTTTTTTTCGGGACTTTAATTAATATACATTATATATATAAACCATACCCGAGCTGTAACCCGTAGAAAGTTTCCACTCACACAACTCTTCACCTTTTAAACTTACAGTTGGTTGATTTGATTTTTGGACTCCACGGCGTCGTCGTTGAAGTGGGGCACCATCTTAGCCCCGCAGCAGGAGCAGAAGCTGACCGCCGACGAGCTGTCGGTACCGGACACCGTCCCGAGGGTCATACCGGCCGGCGAGAGGGGTCCGCGGGGTGAGAGGAGGGCCGTCAGGTGCTCGTCGAGGACAGGGACAACTTCTACCCTCCTCACACGCTCATGTGTTCCGGCAACACAAGGAAGTCTTCTTTTTGATTAAAATAATAATAAAAAAAATAATAAAATCCCTAAATATCCCAAATCCCGACAGCCAATAACAGCCAGCTGTTTCCAATTTTAGTTCATTAAAAGCGTCGCGTTGTGCTCCCGCCACCGGTAACACAGCCGGCCTGTCCATGGCCTCGCAAAACACGCTCTTCCAAACTGGGTTGGTTTCTGTGCCGTTTCCTCGACATGGTTCGTCCCCGTTACAGCACGCAAACAAACACGCAAAAACAAACTCCTTCCCCGTGGACGGCACTGAGGCATATGACTCGGGTCAACCGCCAGCGGAGGAGTCGGCGGAGGGAGGGGCCGGAGGGCACGTGCTTTTGGGAAAAAGTGGGGGAGCCGCTGAGGGGCGGGAGGGACACGCGACAGCCCACGCCAGAAGCACCTCTGCAACGACGGTTGACGGAGCAAATACAACTACGATGCACTGTACAGGAGGACAGGGGTATTGTTTACGCCAGCATTTTTTTTATTTTTTATGAGGCTCTATAGTTCCTCCTCTCTGACTGAGTGTGCTCTTATCGGGAACATTTCAACAAGGAAACAAACTGCCAGTAGAGCTTGATTAAAACCTCAGGTGACTCCCTGACACATGATTGCTCATGTTTGCAGCCTTAAATAGGATATGCCGTTTCAGATGAGTGTCACCTGTCATATTCAGAATTAGCTGATAAATTCAGCAGCTCTAACAGATGAACACCAGTCTTAATAAAACAGGGAGACGTGATTAATAGGTAATAGGATCAATCAAACCAACATGAGGTTTAGTTTTTCTCTCTGACTTCAAGCGTGTCTCCACCCATTTCCCAAACACTCAAATCTTGTGGTTTGGTTACATAAGAAGCTACAACAAATGAGAAACAGGTTGAGGTTATCCGGGCTGAGCGTGTACTATCTATGTGGAGCGTAGATACAGTGGAGCCAGGAGAAGTCTGGGGAGGGGAGGGGTGGGGAGGGGGGGGCTTCACACAACTATCCTCCACCATGTACAAAAGCAAAGGCGCTTCAAGCTGTAGAGAGACCTGCGCCGAGTTTAAACCTGGTTTATAGCTTATTAAACATTTTATATGACGTGCACAGTCCTATGTAAGCTGACAACAATTCGAAAACACAGTAAAACCGCAGGCCTTCCAATCGTATTCACACCGGCGCAGCTCCAAGAGCCCTGAACTGTAAACCGAAAACATGTGGGGCAGATAACCTGCGACTCCCAGCCCCGGTTCGGCTAAAGAGGTTTGCTTTATGTTTGGACTGTTTTCCAGAGCCGACACGTAGTCCGTAGGGAGTGTGACGGACAAATGGGGTACTATTAAAAACACTGTTGCACAACGCAGCGCTGGCTCTGTGATCAGGAAGTTTACAGCCTGTTGTTACTCATTGTTTTCTGTGAGGTCCAAGTCAGTGTGTTTTTGTCCTCCTCCTGAAACTGTTTTGGCATGAAGCGGTATTTTTCTTATCTGTGTGTGTTATTGGAAATAGCCCCCACCCCTTCTACCACCTCCATCTTGTGCATTGCTCACAACTACTCAAGCCAAAGGTGATCCAACTTTCACTCAAAGCTGATGAAAAAAAGAAAAAGAAAAAACAAACCTTGAAAACTGTTTTTTCAAATGATCTGTGTGGAAGATTTTGCCCGAGTTGAGATGAAACCTCCCAAAAAACAACAACAGTCTAGATTTACATAGCTCGTACTGCTTCCTGGTGACGGGTTACCAAAATAATGAATCCATCCAAATGAGCTTTTAGCTGCGAGCGGCGTGCTGGCGCCTTTTGACCCTGAATGGGACGTGCGCCCTACAGAGTGCTGCACAGATTACATCACATGTAATCCAAACGCGCAGGCACCTGTGCTCTTAATCTTTGCTTTGTCTGGGCTTCCTGAGAGACCTCTTGCGTCACTCGGCGGCCCTGAGAGCGGCTGCGGGCACGGCCGGAGGCTCGGCGCGCAGCTGGGGCCGCGCTGCCCGTCATGTGCTTCTGGTTTAGTGTCACCGGACTTACCAGCCCTCAGTGGGAACTCATTTGTCTGTGGGCCGGTAACACGAGAACAAGATGGGATGTGCGGCCGAGCCCTGAACCAGTTGTGTAACCGCCCGCCGCAGCGTGCCTCCATTTGTCACTCGGAGGGAAAAGAGGAGAGGCGGGAAGGTCAAAGGTGCAAAGTGTGTGTGTGCGTGTGTGTGTGATGCCAGCCACTAGCGTCCTTTGAAGTTGAGATTGGCTACTGTAAGCCATCATAAGAAAAAAAGGGCACGCCTCGCCTTTTCTATTGTAAAACGTCTTTCTTTTTTGTCTGGTCGGCATGTAATTCTGGTTTCCTTAAACTGCTCTTAAAGATGAAAAAGAAGCTTAAAAACTACAGAGAACGCCTCTACAGCTCGGATGTTTGCCGACCTCTTGGTGTATTCAGGTGCGACGGGAGCACTTAACCTTGGACAGGGAACGCTCCCTCTCGCCTGATAAGATCGACAAAGATGGAACTGTTGGCCAAAGACTCCTGCAGTGACACGCTAACTGCGAAATATCCTTCAGGGGGATTATGAGAGGCGTTAAACGACACGTGAAATGACACTAACACGCACCATGCCTTACAGCCATCTAACTGACAAGGAGTTATTACATCAGAGAAGTTTTAAAACATTTTTTTAAGAATTGAGATAGCACAAATTCTATCAATTTAATTGAAATCGATTTTTCCATTTACCATTGCATTCATGGTCGTTTTCTATGTTAGATCTCTATTTCATTTGCAATATTACATAACATTATAGATTATTCATTTTAAGTAATATCAGATTACTTAGAATGAATATCACACCATTTAGACCATATACTAGAAACATCTAATCAAATAGCCTTCTTTTTTGTAGAAAAGCTGCTGTCAGATGAGTTTGGAAGCATTTCGTCGATGCAGTGGAGATGAGGGCGTCAGTCCCTGTGGCAGCCGGGCATGATCCGCCCCCCCCACCAGGTTTAACACATCAGTTGCCCTGTCTTGGACCCCTGACAGCTCTCTTTCCCCTCTAATGGGTTTGTTCTTGTGTTCCGGCATCACGACGGCTTCTTTTGACTTTCACAGCTTTTCTCCTCATTTTGAACTACATGTGACCACAGATTCCAAAGTGCTGAAACTAGCTAGGAGGGAAGTCATTCCCACCACTATGGCATCCTGATATTAAAGGAACTGTGTATTAACAATTTCTACCTGGTTTAACTGAAATTGATTTGATCAAAGTCAGGAATGAGCGCTTTAATTATGCCTGAATTCCGTAATTTAGAATTTTAACTGGGAAGCAGAGGGGAAACTCAAAGAATGAGGCCACTTTGGCCAAAACGTGATGGAGGCCACCGCACCTGCCGCGCTTTCTTAGCTTAGATCCGTTTGCCAGCTAACACAGAATGGGGAGTCTTTCGTGTGGAGGAAGCAGGTGTCCTGAAGGAACGCTGAGGGCAGGTGTGGTATCCAGCGTCGGGTGTAAATGACAGAGGAGGGCTTATAAAAACTTAACAGGCATGCCTCCGCACGAGGAGCTGATGTTTAAAGAGCTTTCCCTCGGCCTGGCGTGAGTTAGCGAGCCTCGCACCCCGCGGGCCGGATGAACCTGCTCTTCTTGTGCGAGAGCTGACGAGTGACTCCTCAACGTGGATACTAAACAATTCTGGGCAAGCCTTGTTTGGCAAGCACTTCTCAGTAAGAGTGGGGTTGGTCTGCCGTGGTGTGATGAGAGAGATCAAATGCCTCAAACGGGCCGTCGCTGTGATCACAAAGCGGGCCCGGTCAAACGGCGCAGCGCTATGCAACAGCAAAAAGCTGCACGGCAAGCACACAACGGGCACACAACGGGCACACAACGTGCACACGAGCCGGTGGCTGCAGAACAGAAGCTTCTCGACCCACCCAGACTCCTCCTCCCGTCAGCCTGCTTCTGACCGCGCGGTGAAGCGGACACACTGGTGGCACCACATTTGCATCGCGTGTAACTTTGGGAACTATGAAGCAAAAACACAACAAGTTTCTGGATGTGCTCCAACAGGGTGAAGCCGACCGGCACACCTCTGCGCTGCGGGTCACAGGGGGGAGATTCAGCCACCTTAAAGCAAGTCGACCCGAAGAGTGACCAGTGAGCGGGCTGGATCTTGCCATTAAAGCTTACTTCAGCTCAGATAAAATGCACGGGGGGGAAAGTCTCTGAAAAGGCGCTTTTAGAACCAGACTCTTGAGTTTCACCCCGCTTTGCTCTTGACAGCTGTGCAGTGACACCCGATATCAGAGCCCCCCCGTCTCAACTCTTTCTGTAGCAGCGTGCTTCAGCAGAACCAAATCTATCGGCCCCTTTCAACGTGTCTCCGATCGCCACGGCGGACGGGGGAACAAAGTTCCTCAGTCCCTGCGATGCACATTCGGTGTCATTTCTGAGGCGGCGGTGTGCGGCAGAGATTCATCGTTGCACTGCGGCAATGCTCCGTTTCTGGGGTGTGGCGTTGACGGTGCGGGGGGGGTCCAGGATGCAGCTGTTTGTGAGACGCCGACACGGGGAAGGAGATGCGGTGCATAAGTCGGTTAAGGGCTGACCAAATAAGCCTTACAGAGAAGCAAATGAAAAAAAAAAGAAACAAGAAGAAACAAAACAACTGCACCCACCATTTGTGGGGAGGGGGGAGCGTTCAGCTCATATAACCTGGACTGTTATGTAATACGCTTCAGAGGTCATTCGGGGAGCCCCTTGGCTGCACCCTGTGTGTCAGCGAGCTGGAACTGAAACACTCAGCCTGGTGGGCAAGCCAAAAAAGAAAAGAACATTTTTCTTTTACAGTACGGGGGCGTTAGCTGCTTGAACGTGTGTGTTTGAGTGCGCGCCTCCACGGGTATGACTTCAACCCATAACTGGGACCACATGGGCTCACTAATCAATGCTGGGGCGAGTTGCAGGCGTGAGTGATGTCACCGTGTCTCAGTGATAAAAAATGTGGCAGTTGAAAACCTTTCCACAGAAATGCAAACCGCGCTCACAGCCGCCGGGCGCCACCTCTTTCAGCTCAAAGAACAAAAACAAAAACAAGCCGCACATGCAGCGATACGACAGTGGGTTGTTCTTTTGAACAGAAACGGGAAACACTGCGTCCATTCTGACTCCTCCGCATCACCCAGGGGCTGCGAGCGCCTCTACGAAAGCAGACCTCGGGTGAGTTTGAGGTCTGGAGAGCTGGACAGTGAAAACATAAGCAATGATCTAAAAAAATCCTTTTTTTTTCAGCAAAAAAAAGCATAAATCAGGAGGGTTTATAGGGGCAATTCTGCT